GATAAACTCGACATTTTCCAGTCATCTAAATGTATCATGGTCGGTAATTGCGGTTATGTTTTCGCTTATTTTGTCACTCAGTTGTATACATTTTGGAATAATTCATATTACAGAATTAATTGGAGGTATGTCTTCTTCTATGTTGAGATTTTTCTTCCGTTATGACTGACTGCTTTACACCTAACACGTCCGTACCATGATGGAGTGGAATTTTAATCGTAGAAAACTTCACATTGTTCATGTGCGCTAGGAACGAAATACGCCCTCCATTGGGGCTTACGATAGTGTAAATAATGATTCCCGTTTCATTTTGATTATTCGCCAGGTGCAAGGTCAAAACTGCGAACGAGAGTGGAATTTATCGTCATTTATAACATCATATTCTTCACTGTTCATTACCATGTCAAATCCACATGGGTTATTTCAGCTTCCAGATAAACTGATTTATTTATTCCTTTTGAGCCACATTTTGACGTTGTCAGTTATTTGTTTTATAACATTGGCTTTTTTATATGAAGTGTGTTTGTATCGCTTACTCTATTTATCACACGTTAGTAGTTTATATTTGTCTGTCTTTAATTAGTGAGTCACGTTTTATCAAATGAAGTTGAGGTACTTACCTTCTCCGCCTCGCCTAGCTTTTCCGCTTAATGTCTGTCTGAGCAAATGAATGCCTGAAATAAATTCATCCAACTCAATCCGTATTTAGCTTATTATTACCGCTGTTGTACAAACGGGGTTGACCTTGGTGTAGTATACAGAGTTAAGTGGAAGGTTTAGATTCATGGCATATTTATTTGTTCTTCCAAATTGGAGTCAGATCGATGGGCCACTAAAACTCAACTACAGACAAAAAATCCCAACTTTTATTTCTGACATGTGATCAATAAAAGTCTAACTGATGGAGACAAGTATTATGCTCTTCTGTATTTTTTTTATTCAGCATTTGTAATTCGAAAAGAAGTTCAATACAACTTATTTTGTTATTTCTCTATTCTCCATTTCATTATTCAGTTCAATCAAATCAAACCGAATTTCCAATCCACACGCAGTTTTTTTAGTACAAGTCAATAAAAAAAATTGAGAGCACATTTAATTCATTTATATACCTTTGATGTTAATCTTTGCCTATAATGTCAAGATTATTTAGAAACATACGTTTTTTTACTCCACTTAACTATTCCGCCTGTTGAAATATTCAGTTAAGCCAAGGACATAAAATTTGTTTTTAGTTTTACTTATCAAATGAAGATAGACGTGATTAAAATTGAAGTGACAGTTTTTTACTCATTAACAATTATGTTTTTCACTGATATTTTTTCATTTACCTAATGAACAGTGCTTCATAGTTTAAATATGTGTAGTACGTAATTTCAATCAAATGCACATTTAGGTTCACAAAAAATATCTATTTAACGTATGTATAATTGTGGTGTATATTACTTATGCCGATATAAGTAGTTTATAACACCAGTCAGAAATGGGACACCTGATAGCAGAACGTTGGGAAGATCAAATTGAGGAGAACGGAAACACAGTAATTGTAGTGGTAATGAAGGAACGATGAGGTTTGAGACAACTGAAGGAATATTTGCAAATGAAGTATTTTATTTGGGGTTCTTACACTTTAGCAAGTTACTCTGTGATCTCGTCTTAAAATACATTAGTTGTTCCTAACTTTCTTCTCATTCATCACATTACTACCTGCCTATTTTCTGTTCTTTCGTTTTGTATCTGTTGCTTGCAACCGGGAGTAGTGTGTGGTTTATTTTTTTCTCTTGGTACACTTGTTTGAAACTATCTACAGAGAAATGCATCAATAGCGTGAAGAAATGTAGATCCTGTAAAGATGGTGTGAAATAAGATCTACCTCAAGGTGTTTCCGTGGATCTTTATGCTTAACTGTGGTTTTTATTGAGATCGTTAAAAATAAGCTCTTCAGTTAATGATCGCATTCAAACTTTTATTTTTAGAGCACAAACGATTGTGTAAACGTTTACTGTGGTAAATTACTTCGCTTAGTAGTTGAATGACAGTACTATCACAGAAATGACTTATTGATGAATACGAAGCAGAATGTTAGTTTTGTGCTGAAGGCTTTTGCTTTTAAAGATTCACAGCATTTTATGATTGAAATGAACCACCGTAAGTAAAAATAGTTTATACAGGTATGCTATTTGAAGTTATTTTCTACAATAATTAGAGAAGTGACAAAATTAACATATGATTGGGGTTGTTGAGGAGTCGATAAGATTTTTTCATTTGTAAGCGTAATTTCTACGCTGGGAATCAATATCAAATTAGTTGAATCTATAGTTCATTGCTCCTGAATTGATCATTACTTATAGCTTACATAGAGCTAAAAGCGAAATGGATATATCGTAACCAACGATTCCATAGAATAATTCACAGAAAAATTTTAACAGTTAGAATCACGAGTCGATATAAGCTGGACTACCATTTAAGACTCGCAAGCACTGGAAGGTCGTTTCGTTGTAGTATGGGACTATTATGTTTGAAACTCCACGAGTTCACTCGAACTGCGAACGAGAACAATACTCAGTGACCAAAGACCAGTGATCTAACTATTGACGCGTCCCAGCCCCGCTATCTAGAAGAAGAAGTCCAGGCTTGGTATGGAAAATATATTCTGCAACAGCCAGAAGCGAGCGAGCAAACGTATTTATACAATTATTTACAATCGATATTGTCATAGAAAATTTTTAAACATTAATCAATGAGTTCATTAATTGACCTATTTGCGCATTTAATCGATAGTTCATCAATTGACTGCTATTCAAACATTTATTCGATCAGTTCATCAACTGACCCCAATACAAATATCTAAACATTTAATCAATAAGTTGATCGATGCGATAAAATTTAAAAATATGAGTTTGGGGATCTATCGTCCCCAACACTCCTCCCCTTTTTAATAGCGGGCTTTCCTGGGGTCAACCTGCATCTTGACTGTAGCTCGCCGTTCTCTTATAGGCCACCGTCGGGGACGTGTTTCAGCTTGTTGTTGAGGTTTTTCTTGTGGTGGGGTTGCCGGTAAGTTGAAAGTATCAAGCAAGATGTCGAGAGGAAGATTTACTCCTGTTGATGGGTGGTCTGGGGCTATCCGCTTACGAAGTTGATTTCGGTGTCTAGTCCACGTGTCTCTTCCCACCTTTACATTGTACATAATTTGGCCTAGTCTTCCAACCACATATGCTTCGATCCAAGGACCATGATTTGCTCTGTAGTCCCGAGCGAACACAGGGCATCCAACCTCGTACGCTGGAAGCTTCTGAGATTTGCTCTGAGATGGTGGTGGTGTGGTTCTTGGGCACATGAGACTGTGGACCGTCCTCAATTTCCTTCCTATCAGGATCTCCGCCGGGGACTTCTGCTGTAGTAGCACATCACTAGGTGTTGTTCGGTAAACAAACAAGAAATTCTGCAGTGTTTCTACTGGTGTCCCCTCCCCTTTCGACTTCATTAGAGCTCTCTTGAATCTATCCACAAATCTTTCTGCTTGTCCATTTGACTGTGGGTGGTAAGGTGGAGAGCGGAAATGCTTGATCGATAGGCGTTTGCAAAATTATTGAAATTGGCTTGAGGTGAATTGCGAACCGTTGTCGGAAACGATTATATCAGGTAACCCATTGCGAGAGAACATCTCTGTCAAAAGTTGCATCGTTTGGGTTGTCGTTGGTGGCATGACGAGAACGATTACTGGCCATTTCGAAAAGGCGTCAACAACGACTAGATAGGTGATTCCATTAATTGGGCCTGCGAAATCGACATGTATCCTGGACCAGGGATACTCAGGCTGTGGCCATGGGACCGGCAGTAGTTTCGCGTCACACTTGGCTGCTTGCTGACACTGTGCGTGGTCTTCTGTCAATAGGGAGGAAATAACTGCATCTTCGCCGGCCGTATGGTGTTCGCTGGCTGACAACTCCATCATTAGGTTCCTCGTATATGCTTCCAAGTCATGTGGTTGTTGTCGTAGTTGGGGTTGTGATACCTGGTTGCATATGGTATTCAATGGGACATCAGCTAAATTTAAATGATCCAACCAATCTAACCCGAGCAAACTTAGATCAGCTGGCGTTATGTAGCATACCCCAACAAATGTAAAATCACGGGAAGTAACTGTATATTTCATTTGTCCTAGAAGATGAAGGTAATTGCCACACGCAGTACGAGGCTTTTGCGTTGTACGCTGCAAGTTTGGGCTGCCCATTTTTTGTCCAAGTCTTACGAGAGAGGATAGTGACATCTGATGCCGTATCTATTTGCAATCTAGATGAATGCCCATTAATATTAAGGGTAATAAATTTCCTCTCAACTGGGGTTGAGTTCTCACAGCTTGCTATTAAACTCAACGAATTCGTGTTGGATCTAGGCGTAGGTTTTCTGGTACCTCTGGAGCTGCTCGGTTTCGTTTTTCGACAAAAACCATCTTTATGACCCACCGCATTACATTTCCTGCACCGATGTTGCTTATATGGACAGTATCGAACAAAATGCCATGCACCGCAGTGCCAGCATGGAGCAGGAGGATTTGTTTTTGTCTGTCGACCTGAACTAGATGTCGCTGGGGCAGATTTATGCGAGTTGTATGGTTGTTGGACTACATGAATCTCGGAACGATCTGAACCACCACGCTGGACCATTGTAGTATCACACTGTAGATTGATTAGACGTTGATATTCGTTTGCAATATCATTAAGAGTTAGTTTTGGGTCTTGGTCCAATCGACTTAGCAAACGTGTTCTAACATCACTGAACTTCTGCGATTGAAGGCTGCAGATGAGAATGAGTGCTTTAAATTGGTCTTCAGTAAGCGACTTCAACCGGAAGCATTCACATTCTCGGTTGACGATACCCACATGTGTGAGAAAATCATCATCTTCGTTCATAGTGAGCTTCAAACATCGGTAACGCGCATTGAATAGTGCGGAGTTGTCTCCGAATTGTTGGCTCAATGACTGGACAGTGTCGGAGAATTAACGATCGGGTGGGTTTAAAGGCAGGATTAGGTTGCAATACTTGTCTAGTTCACTAGGACCCAACTTTTGAAGCAGCAAGCGGACCTTCCAAGCATCATCCTGATTAGCAAAGTCGAATTTGAATAAGTCTTCGGAACGTCGAAACCACATATCAAACGTGACATTGGATTCTGGATCGTAATGAAACTCGGAGATACTGTTAGAAATACCATCAACTGATGGTGCGGTAGTAGTAGGATTAGAACTGCTTGGTTGGGTATTAGACGTACGCTTTGCATATGCTAACATTTGAATAAGTTTCATCTGCTGCTCGAATAATAATTCAAGTTTAGAAGGATCCATGTTTCCAAAACCACCGTCGCCAAATTGTTATGTTTGAAAGCTCACGAGTTCACTCGAACTGCGAACGAGAACAATACTCAGTGACCAAAGACCAGTGATCTAACTATTGACGCGTCCCAGCCCCGCTATCTAGAAGAAGAAGTCCAGGCTTGGTATGGAAAATATATTCTGCAACAGCCAGAAGCGAGCGAGCAAACGTATTTATACAATTATTTACAATCGATATTGTCATAGAAAATTTTTAAACATTAATCAATGAGTTCATTAATTGACCTATTTGCGCATTTAATCGATAGTTCATCAATTGACTGCTATTCAAACATTTATTCGATCAGTTCATCAACTGACCCCAATACAAATATCTAAACATTTAATCAATAAGTTGATCGATGCGATAAAATTTAAAAATATGAGTTTGGGGATCTGTCGTCCCCCACAGGGACTGTAGTGTAGGATGCTATGTCAAGCCCATATAGCTTATTCCAGCTTCCGGACAGGACAATTTATTCGTCTTTCTTGAATCACATTTTGCCCTTGTTAATTATCCGCTTAACAACCTTGACGGCTTTTATATAGGTGTGTATTTGTGCACTTCTTATCCTACTTTTATATGTATGTAACTTATGTTCGTGACTCTAAATATCGCTCTACGCTTGGTTAAATCGAGCTGGCTCACCCGCTTTCTCCACCGTGCACAATTTCGCTCACTTTTCTTTGTTTCTCCACCCGTTTGTCTGGATCAACGATTGTATGAAATATGTCCACTCGAAATCCATTCTCGTACTCGATTTATTTAATTCAGTTATTCACTAACGCAAGTTAAGTCGATAATTTTTTACGAGGATTGGCGATATGTCTATTTCGATAGCAATCAACATACGATCAAATTGGAGTCAGATATTCAGGGCCACTAAAGGACTATTCAGCAGTGCAAACACAGTTCCATCATATTCGTTATATTTATACTAGTTGACTGAGAATAAATGAATTAAGAACTAGAATACTGATATTAATGAATGTATATGTAAGTACTTGAATTGACTTGCTTGTACGGCAGTAAGAAACGATCGAAGTAAAGTATGACTGAGTGTACACAAATGGACTGGGGAAATATTAGTATTCGGATAACATCGTGATTAGACCTCTTTTCAATATGCTTGAATGTCACTAGCATTTAGAATCACCAGCAACTGTACTACAGTGGAAATAATGAATTGAATTGTAGTAATGCATTTGGCAGTTACATGACCAATACATTATACACAGAAGTGAAAATAAATATGTGCACGTGTGTCTGTATTATACACCATAGTTTCTCTGATAACAACGTTGCAATGTTTACATCTAAACACATTGTTTCACTACACAGTACGTTATTTCCCATTCTATAAAAAGGTATTCCGTGGGATCATGTTATGTCCTCTGGAAAGCTCAATATACTAATGCAACTGCATCTTTTACTCTTGCTTGACAGACATTGACCAAAATATTGCAAACCGATGTCAATATTTAGTAATATTGTAGTGAACGAGAACACTAATGAGTTCAATCGAACGTCCTTGAACACAAAATTACAGAATATTTAAGTAAAATCTGAGAACCATACAGTAAATTCTTCATGTGCAAAATGTCCCAGACATTACTATGCCTTTGTTTTCACACCAACCACTCTATATTCTCTTTTATTCGATCTTCTTAACCTTCCGCCGTCAGACATTACACTTCCGATTGATGGTGCATACAACTTATATCTGTTGACATCAGTAGCACACACCACAATATGACGTCTATCTCGTAGATTAAAGCGGATACACTACTTTTAAACGAGGTTACGCATTTTCTATTTACTAAAGACGTTATTAAACTGTCAGAGTCATCCTATACAGCAACAATCTGAGTCGTTACATACTACGACGCAGATGTAGTGTAATATGAATTCTCAGTATAACAAATTATCCAGATAACGTTAACACTAAGTAACATGAATTTCACTGTCTCCGAATAATTTTACTATACACTATAAGCTTGTCACATATGGCATCACATAAATGTCATAATCATCCATGCGCGTTATTAATACCTTCCCACATTGTTGGTAATATGAAAATCAGTAATTAGGGATTATTGAACATTGTTAATACAAAACGTACTCTCGATCGCACATAATCGTGAAATATGTTCATATGATTCAGTTTCCTAGATGGTCGTCTGAGCATCTGTATAGCTAAGGTAAACATACATTTTATTAGTAAAAACAATTAGCTGTACAAGCATGTTGTACTGGAATCGGTTGCTGAATGGCATTCTTACTAGGATAAGTCACAGGTAAACAAACTGCTTACTTTATATGTGGACGTCATTATTATTAGCTTTATTCAATATTAAATTTTTACTCTAACATAGAATTCTCAGCGCGAATTATTTCAAAGTGTTCACCAGTCAGATTCTAATAGTTCAGAAAACATCTGAATGATGTGCATTCTTCTCGATGGATATTGCCAGCAACTACGATGTGTCTGATTGAGCTTTTTGTAACTTGTATAGTCTAAATTTGTAAAATCTCCACAAACGCACCTGAATAGGTTATGTGATTAGTAGACATGATATGTTAAAAAAAACCAATGACTTTTTGAATTATCTTGATGCCAGAAACAGGTAGTAGATATTCAAGCAGGCCGCCGTCATGAGTACATGTCATCCGCAGTTTTTAGAATTATGATTTCCTTTAGTTGAAAGGCAGAGCAAAAGCATGCGATACACATGGCTATATATCGTTCGGCGTTTTCTGGAGTATACAGGTCTCCTAAAGGCACACATATTAGCAAGTCAGGCTAGCCTACAAACACGCCACCGACGTGAGGCAGTTCAAGTATGGGATGACCGCCTTTAGGTACACCGCTCGAGGTCGCTGAACCGGAGGGGTAATTTGAATTTCAAGCTAGCTTTTGTCCTATTTGTAAGCATGTTTTGGTTAAATAAGTATTTAGAGCACAACGCGTCTTTTATACACAAAGATGAACTACAAATACAGATTTTAAGTAATTTTAAATTTAAGTGCATTTTTTGGCAGAACTATGCTAAAAAAGCTAATTAAGTTCAGAATAATAAAATAACATACTTCTCTATAATTTATTGTTCAGATGAAGTTCTAATATACATAAAGATAACTAATTAATTTTACACTTAAATCGCTTATACATTTTATTGCGTTATTCTAGTACACAATGTGTGTTATGGGAACATTTTAATGTAGAGTTGAGGTGTAAATACTCGAAAAAGTTAATAAAAATAGATCTCATAACTATAATAACTTGTTATTCCCACTCGCTACAAAGCTCATCAGACTGTTCCACTAGCACTAAATTTTCATTGCGCAACATGTTAGACATAAAAATATCTCCTTGCATGAATCGCTTTTCATCAAGTTATAAACAAGCTGAAGCATATACTTATTACTGCAGTGCTTTCGGTTAGATTTCACCATATTTAAAATCTTAGTAAGTGCATGGACCGAATCGCAACATTAAGGATCACCGTTGGACAATCAGTGGGATTGAATTCGTTACTATACACTAACTTCTTTGATTATGAGAAAGCGCTGACAATGTTAATTTAATCAAAATAGATATGAGGTTACTTTATGCACAATTAAAGCGAACTAAATGACAGACGAGGTTAATACCACGAGAAACATAATAGATTCCGTTTATTTCTCTCAGAAATATGGACGATTCAAGTCGATTGAGACCTATCGAAGTTGGAACTTAAACATATGCCAAGACAATCTTTGTTTGCAAAAATAATTTTCTATGATAGATGTATGGATTAAGTGCCAAATTACGGATAGAAAATATAAAAAATAAATTACAAACCTATATAGTCAAATAGCATCTATCTTTAAAAATACAGAAATTCCAAGTGGCATAATACCCAAAAATTTAAATATTAAGCACCAAGCTGTCACACATCCTATATCACATAGTAATTAAGCGAGTTCATCGAAGGATTTGAGCACATTTTCAAACTTATGCAGACTTGAACTATTTTGCATAATTTTAAGAGGCATTACACATTGATAGAGAAATATGGAATTAATCATAAGTCAATTTTTCAGGCAGAATAAAAGTACTGACAAAATTCAGGAATCAAGGATAATACATAATCGCCACGTCAGATAAGACCGTCATTTCTTGACGGTCTGATGGAAACTAATACTAAATCAGGTAGGCAAAACTGTTGGTGGATAAAGAATTGATAGAACGCTAAAGTAAATAGGCATGCTTAGTGTCTAACTTCAATCGATTCATGATTTTGCGCAACCCTTCATCAATTGTCTGAGGTGGATAACTATCACTATCCGACACAGATGGGACTCCACTGGTCACGGCTTCCCACTAGACCTGGACATTAGCACCGTTGGATGCCAGCTCAGTGGTCTAGACGTTAAGCATTCGCACGCGAGACCGAAAGCCCTAGATTCGAGTCGTGGATGCGCACTGCTCATGAGTCCCATACTTGGAAGAAACGGCCGTCTAGTGCATCGAGGTTTTCAATGTTTGTCTAGTTTAGATCGACTAAAAAATCCAACTATTAAAATTACTACAATGTCCACAAATCCTCATTCTGATAAAGAATAATTCACGAGAAACCTATCATCTAGCCATCAGTGGTCAAAAGTAAAAACATTCAAATGATTTGTTTAGATACTATCGAATAACCTAGGTAAGCAAGACAGAACTACATTAACATTATTGTGGAATAATCCGCAAGATTCATTCAGCTGAGGAAAATCAAAATGATGGTAATCCTGAACAAAGCAATTCTGTTCAAGTTTGATATATGGGCTATAATTTAGTATCATACTATGCAATGCTAACCGACAGACAGGCCAAAACAAACTAGCACCTGGAAAAAACGTTACCAGTATAATGGAGTCTCACAAGAAAGAACAGGTTGTTTCAAAATAAAAAAATACAAAATGACATTATGTTCGAAAGCTAGATGTCAAAGAAGAGAATCGTCAGCTCCAGTGCAACCAATTTCGAAGAAATCAATGTTTTCATATGAGAAATTATAAAAATTCTTTGGAACTACAATACATAAAAACCAAAACTTTAACCTACGTAAGAACTAACTCCTCATAACTATGTCAATAATTTGATTATGATCAAGAATCAGGAAACTGCTTAAATTCCTATTGTTACGTCTTTCCGAAACAAAAGTTATGACATGTGTATGAACATAGAAGTAGAATTATAAGAATGTTTGAGACTAAAATCTTTTTTATAAGTAAATTAACAGTATAAATATATGTCGACAAAAAAGTCAAGAGATCGTGCTGTTCCGTTTGGCAATGAATGCTTATACCCAAGTAATCAGTGAAATAGACAAGATACAACAAGCTTTTGAGGTGTAAGTGCTTTCTATTGAGGAGTTAGCTCTAATTCCATGCGTTGAAGCCCATGATTTTCTGTAACTGTGAGTCAACTGATGCCTAGTAGAGATAAAGAAAACTTATTCCCAGCAAAAGAAACCATACCATTTGAGAAAGAGCATCGCTTAATTGTTTTTCAGCTTTTGTGGTATCCTAAAATGAAATATATTGTACAAAATTCCTAATCATACGATATCAATCCCCATGTACTGGTCTACACGATTAGATAATATTGCCTTTCGTTCTTTGATTTCCTCAATTTCCTAATAAGAAGGACTGGTAAAGTGAATAGACAAATAGAACACACTTTCTTCCATGACATCAGAAGGCGCTGATCAGGTGCTTTTTCAACGGATGACAATAACTCCTATCAGTAACAAAAATGTCCAATTAGTAAACCAACTTACACTTAATTGACGATCTGATTCACTAAGGGATTTCGATAAATTTAAATACTTTTCTTTAATATGCTGCATGGAACGCATATCTGACAGCACGCTTTCTTGAGAGAGACGCCAATCACTAGAAAACCTATGAAGAACAAAATAATACATTCAGTTTGAAATTACGATTTATTTGTTTTCGAAACACGAAATCAATCTGAAGGTAGTAATTACAAAATTCACTATAATTTCAAACATTGCCCGGTCTTTTTCATGAGTGTTTTTCCATATGGCGTTTTCATGAACATATACGAATGCTATTAACTAAGTATGTGTTTTTATGTTTAAAATGATATACTTAGTTACGAAACAAGGAAATGTTCATTGCATGATCCCTCAATGGGACGAATTAGTCCAGTAACATAATTCTGATGTTAGATAATTAAACGTGCTTCGTAAAAAACAAAGAGCAGAAATAATGAATAAAAACCTAGAAATTTACAGAAACATAGGATGACCAGCCTTGCAATCTGATTAATATTACAGTGAATATGGTCAACAAAAAATAACTATTATCAAAATACCTTAAGATTACACACACTTGTATAAAAAGTTTTTGTTCAATCAAAAAATCAGACAACCATGTAACGCAAAAATTACGGGTGGTTAGCGCAAAAAGATATGATACTGAAAATACTTATAACAACGGACACAATAATCTACCAATGTAGCTAATCATAGTAAATTCAACAATCTTACATGGGTTACATTTAATTAGAAGACGAAATTCAAGAAGCAAATTATGTGGGTAACCAAAGAATATGGTAGGGATTCGTACAATGCAAGCTGGAGAGAAAGGATTACAATCGGGGAGGTGTTGCTGTACTCCGGTCATGAAGAAGAAAATGCTTTGCACACACAAGGAGTTGCACTGATGCTCTACAGAGAAGCATGAAAACCACTTATAAGATGGGAATCTCATGAGTCCAGAATCATCAAAGCAACCTTCAGAACAAAGAATATTATCCAGTATTATGCATCCACTAATGATAATAACGACGACGATAAAGACTAGTGCTGTGGGAGGGAACAAATCAGCTTCCAGCTGAAGAAGCAATTAGGAGAAGATGCTCAAGGTGGGTAAGATATACATTGCGGAAATCTTCAAACTGCACTGACTTGGAATCCTAACGGTAACAGGCAAATTAGAAAAACCAAAAAACATATTGCGTCGGGAATTGGAGACAGGTATAAAAAAATGAATGGTGATTGGAAACAGCTGGAAGGGAGAGAACAAGACAGAATTGGTTGGAGTATCCTGGTCGGAAGCTTATCCCCCTCCACGGAAGGGGATACAGGCGTAATTTCTACGTTATGATTGACTGAATTCGTGCTACTCAAGCGTAATAAGGTACTGAGTCCATCAAAGCGTCCAGCTTTTTTCAAATTTATCTACTATTCCACCCACCGAGACTTTGGTTGGTTTAAACAAGACTGATTCTATTCTTTAGGTGAGCTGTATTACTTAATTTCCACCCTTAAACGTGATGTCTATGAAGTCTATATATTGATAGTCATCGGTTAGCAAAACTCGTAGTAGCAGTTTAAAAATACTAGCAAAAAATTTGAGATCCATCCCCTAAACATAACTTAGAGTAGTGAGTTTGTGAAAGAAATCGCAATTTAGGACAACCCAGAGTAAAAAATCAGTCTATGCCAGTCCAAACAGGAAACCTAGAGAATACGTACTTAACAAATACTTTTGTTGGGAAAGTCCAATCGATAGATTATAATTGAGATCTGAGAACTACGAGTAACAATATTTATTGACCATGAAGCATTTAAATGAACTTAGGACCTTCTTGTTTAGTTGAATTACAATGATTCTTACTTTTTATAAGCGCTTGGATAATCAACAATCTAAATCAACCTAAAGAAATCCTGCTTGCTTTACAGATTTCAATTAAAACAATAATCACGTAAACCAGTATTTCTCGTGACGCGTAATAATTAGCCGGAACGAATTAGCTGATATCCACTGAGGTTTATTGATGTTTAAGGAGAAAGAATGTAGTTGTAAAATATCAGCGAATGAATTTGAAGTAAATCCAATGTTACGCTTGGCACTCTGCTCCAAGCTTTTTCAAGGAAAGATAATCAAACACGAAAATTACCGAATATGAATAAGTTCTCTTGTTGACTGTTTAGTAAACAGGTCATCCAATCCCATCCATAGTAACGTTGGATTTACTTCAAATTCTTCGCGAAATTTTACAAATACATTCTTCCTCCCTAATGTTTAACATGAACTCAGCGTCCAAATACTGTGAAACTATTCGTTCAAATTTAGACGAACATACTGACTTGACATGTAAATTGAATTCAGCAGTTAATATCAGTTATTAGCTAATATGACTTCAAAAATCATATAAAAAGGGTTAAATGTAGCTCTGAACAAAACAGATATCCACGATGTCCATTGACAAAAGACGCTTAAAGGTTTGGAAATACGGATAATTGAGACATAATAAAACTTAGTTGTACTAGATATTTCTCAAATTAACGGGTTATTTTACTTAAAATAATCTACCTTATTAAATTCCTTTCCATCGCATCGACCTCCATAATAATTGTCCTTAATGAATTGTATGAATTCTCTAAAGAGGTAACCAATGTTTCTAAATTATCCTGGTATTCTTTGGATGCAAGAACACGATTTTTGATGCTGGATAATATATACAGAACAAACAGATACCTGTGGATAGAACAACTACGACAATCGATTGTTGAAAGTCGCAATGCTAATTGGTTTACTTTGTGACGGATGTCATTATTAGGTTTAGAACCCAGTCTAGCGTGGAATCTAACCAACAGAGTTGAGAGGCGAGTTTCTGGAATGGCAGCATAGATATTTCAAAAACTACAAACCATCAGTAGAAAATTCATCTCTAACTTTCTTTTCCATCAAGTCAATGGCCTCGTGAGAGTTTCTGTGGATCGCTTTGAATTCATCATCAGAAGCATCCAGCACATTTTTAAATTCACTGAATAATCCCCCATGAATGTATTTTGGATTCTGAAAGGGGTATAAAATAGTGAGCATGTACCTTGTGATCCGATTCCCGCCACATTTCCAAGGAACGAATTCAAACCTTTTAAAACAGAGGCTGATAGTTCGTAGTCGAAATGGATTCAAGGATACCTGACGATAACCAAACTAGAGAAAATAGGAAGCAGACTGATCAGAAAACAATGTAAGCGGATAAACATGATAACCCTAAAACAGACTGTAAACAAATTTGAGATAGTCCTCAAGCTAAATTGAAGAACATATGTGCTCCTAACGCAGATTGCTTATTAAAGTACTTGATTTAAGTCAATGAGTAATCAAGTGTTCACCGAAGATAGGTAACATTCTCCTCTTCTAAACCATACCTTACACCAGCCAAAGTTTGATAAAGTTGTAAAAAGTATGAAGGAGAACTACTGCACTAGAGATGACGTCAGTTCGTGATGAAAACCTTGACTTCGTTTTGCAACAAAATTTCAGAACACTAGCATCTCTAAACACCCAGATCTATGCTTCCTGCTTTAGGGCTAGTATCATTTTGTGACAAAAAGCACATGGAATGATAGCCCTAAATCACAAAACTAACCCGACTGCTAATAGGTAAACTTGATCTTAATCAGTTAATACGTGTTGTTGTACACCAGATAAATAAACATATGGGTTAATGGTAAAAAACGCTTACTAATCCGTTGCAGTTTTATTGTTTTATAATGCAAATTGTTTTATAACTAGGCCGACAAGTCACAGGACGTTTTCTGTGAAGTATATCTTTACCAAGTTTTCGGTGAGATTATAACTTATGGACGACCCTAAGGCGACGCCACAGTGACCCTGAGAATGTTCACTCACTCACTAGGAATAAATGTTGGTTATAAGGCAGTGTGGGGAATTAGAATTTCGATTTACAGTTGACGGATAGGGTTAGACTTCGATTTAGTTTTCATCACAAACTGAAATCAGCCAAAGTGCCAAGACGCCATGAATGCAAATGGGTAAATGAATTTTGCGCCCAAATCCAAGATTTGTTATCTTATACCTGATTGGTTTGTCCACAAATTATAGTCCCACCGAATTTGATGAGGAACTATAAGTAACCTACAGGTGACGTAGTAAACTGAGGATTATTCTTGAAAAAATATAGGAAGTTGAGTATGTTAAAAATTCAAAATTGTCTTGGGCAAAGATCGTCAAACTTATTCGACAATAACCCATATTGACTACTTTGAGACACAATTCATGATGGGCGGCTAAATGCACAAGGCCCAAACAGCGAATAAGACAAACAATAATACGCATGCCTAGTCAGAGGAATAGAAAACTGTTATAGAGGGAATGAAAAAAAGCATTTTCAAATTAAAGTTTGTTTTTAGCATCATTGATTTATGTATACTTCTGGACAGAGGTTAAGATAAATAAAACAAAAAAGGAAACTCATAACCCAATCAACCAACAGAGGGGAAATAAAGGCGAAAAAAGGGGGATTGAAGTGGAAAATGCGTTGGAAAATAAATAGGAGATGAGCGGGAAACTCGCCAAAATGTCTGCTTTCTCACCTATCCGAGTAAAATGATGCGGATTTCCCCCTTTTTGTCGCTCTGTCGTTCATATGTCGCTGAATTGTCTACTTTTTGCCTAATTATACACCGAATTGTCTACTTTTGCCCCAACTTTTAAAACACCATTGGCATAACCACAAAGGTCTCCTATGTTTGCCTCTATCCCCACAACAAACCACACTAAAACTGCAATCCACGGGAAAAATGGTATATGTTTAAATAATTTATTGAAAAGGAGAGGAGTATTATTGTGCAACATTATAGCAGAAGCTTGAACATAAATCGTTATTCATCTTCATAGTAACTGCCAATTTATTTGGTATTTGAAAAGATCTGCAAAAGAATAAACAGGTGATGTATTATTAATGTGGTATGTGTATTTAATCGTAAGTTCACTGACAATCAAACACACCTTCTCAACACTTAAATAGCTTCCCATGTAAGTAAGAAAGTATGCTCATTTACAAAATAATGTTTATTGAAAAATAAGTAGAACATAAAAAACATTTCGCGGTTTACATCCTTTAGCCACGCATGTTCGGCAATTGAGAATGAAAATAATCTTCCTCTGAATTCTGAAGTGTAAAGAATGAAAGACGTTACAACAATATCCGAATGGCATGCTTCGGCACAGCCAAATACTTGAAGCTTCACTTACAGTTATTTATATTAATAGACAACGGGTAAGACTGCTCGAACTGTCCAGGGGGATGTCGATTTCTAATATCTAGAAGACCATTAACAACTTCTAATATCGATGAAGTCCCATTAAATCCTAGCTAAATTATCCATCAGACTGATAAGTGGTTGCCAAACAACATATCGCTCCTCACCAAGTTTAAGGACAACCGTGATTATCAGTATAGACCACCTAAGTTGATGATCTACAAGATCAACGCCTCTCTATATTCCTACCTACTGGGGTGGACCTTCGGCTAGCTTAAGGTTTCCTTATGGTTTTTTACCGAACATAACTTCATACGGTACACGAAGTAACAAGCAATAGCGCTAATAGATGTATTCATAATTTAATTTCAAACATTCTAAGGTCATCGCCGTCATTCTCTGTCGAAAATGAGCTTTGCTTTAGAGAAAATCAGTGCCGTGAGAGCTAATATTACGTGAGCCTAATCAACAATCTTTTTAGTAACTTTCTGTGAATGTTCTGATACTGACAATATATTTTTCGACCAAGTGAATATCACTGCATGGACGGGGATAAGCGGTTGAACCCATTTATAGTCACTCTCCTCTCAGTTGAAAGGCAGCAAAAAAGAAAGACTCGAGAACTTTGGTATAACTAAAGTGTACCACATCGATAATTGTTCTTGTAGTCAAAAATACTGACCAAATCAGCGTGCACATCAACCTGACTTGTACATGCATCGCATCATATCATTATGCCATTTGAATTCAACAATTATATACACCGCCTTTACAATTTCCCACTAAACCCATCGTAGTCTATATTGAAATGCGTAATTTGGTTTGTGAATTGAACTATCATATTAAGCCTATAAAGGCATCGAAAGTAGTTGCGATAATAAAGTTATATAATTATGGTCTAGTTTGGCTTCAGTACTGGTATAATAATAGACCTGATCCTTAAATTGTAGATTTGTCATGATGTGAATACCTAATCTACGAGATCTTACGCGGAAGCCCCATCATTGTCCACACTAACTCATCGCGTCGTAAGAATCGGAAATATAACATCTTACACATTTAAGCCGAAGGGAGAATAATATACTTGGTGTGAATAAAGACAAATTATACAGAATGACCACGTCTGCGAGGCTGAGACATGCTATCCGATTAACTGAGTTGAATCTCTCCCGTACCCTTGCTGAACTTCTCTTCGTGTTAATTGCTGAATATGAATCTTCTGAGCAATGATATGCTCAACTTCAAGGGTCGTGTGGTTAGAAATCGACATCATCACAGTGTCATCGCAATTTGATGTTACTTTGCTGCATTGGAATAATAAATTAACTGACAAATCGTCGTTAGTCAAGTAACCGTCTAACACAAGATCTTTTGAGCCAACTGCTGGAATAAATACTAAGTGAGCAAGTATTTCTGGACAGTAATTTGCAATATAATAAAACAGCTCGAACCAATTAAAGCCACAAACTTCCGATACTTTCAAATCACCTTAAACAACAATACCCATTTCCGATTGGCTAGTTCCCAATCAACACTGTAACTAGTTATCCATAATGGTTTCTAAATGTTATAATTAAGCGCCGTCGTGACATGACAATCATGTAATATGATTAACAAAATTGGTGAAACTATTAGCCGAAAGTCTGTCGATAATCTAACTTATAGTTAGCATCAAATAATGTTGTTTTCTCATGGTTATCTTTATCTGCTATCGATTATTTTTGTATGATCAGCTGAGCAAAACTCCTGAAAACATTGCTGTCGAACTTGCCACGACACTGACACATGTTCATGCCATTACCATAGACATGAGTTGGGAGTTGTAATGACCTTGGTTACAACTTATGTTCTCCATGGTAATCACATGAACAGCACCCACTTTTTACCATTTCGCAAAGATTGATTCAAGCGAAAGTATCGTACGACACCCCGTCACTTATATTCGCAGTTCATGAGTTCATTTGATCTCAACATCATACAATCACTTTATTTCAAATAACTCGATTCCTACATACAACGAACATGTATGCACCGTCGACTGGTAAGTATGAATATAAATAATAATTTTACTGCATGTCAAACATTAGTTCTAGATCATGTCTCTTAATTACCCACTCATGTTTGAATAGTTTCTGTTAGCCATCTGTTCGAAAATCGCATGGTTATCACTATTTTTGCGTAATATAGGCATTTTGATAATGATTCATGTGTATCAGTATTTTTAGTAAATCCTGTTACAGTTAAACAATAATGAGGTCGAAAAATCTCTCCGTAAACAAATAAACGTTATTGAACCTAACAAGCAAACTGGAACATTGGTCACACAATAATCCATTCAGTTAGCCTACTAATGAACGTGGAATTAGATATCAACTCATGTGGACAGCATACCGGCACAAATGTTAACTGACTTTATAATTTAAAACAAATATAACAATATCAACATTTCTATAATGTCGATTAGTTTTCTAAAATACTTATGCCGCCCATATGTTCAGTTCTTAACCAACGGTGATCGCTGCGCATCCTGACCTGAATTCCCAAAATATTCCCGTACTATAAAATTTTTCATTTTGCTAATCCCACTTTGTTTGACGCTGAAATAATGTTCACGAAGTTTTTCTTTCTTAGTGTATCAGAATTAAACTGAACATTTTGAAATTGATTAATGCATTTCCCAATCATTTGCTGCCGCCTTTTATATTTACCTTTCACTTTATCAATAACCGTGGGGATTTTGTTGCTCTGTTGGTAACCTGCGGCACAAGACAACCCCACTCCATTTGGCATCGGACCATCGTCACATTGATTCTGATAAGTCAGTTGAGTAGCGGCATATGTTCCTAATTAATGACCTTCGAAGCTAAACATATAGTTACTGAAAAGATTTGTATTCAACATTCAGCATTGGAGAACGTGGGGAAAAAATCGAAATTGCATGTCTCGGTCATGCAGACGTGGTCATTCCTTATAAACTCTTACATCGGTATCAAGTGCATTGTTCTCTTCTCAGCTCAAATGTGTTCGTCAAAAATGACGGACGTCATATTGCTGATCGTTACTATTGAATGAGTCAATATAGACAATGATGTAAACTTCACGTAGATAAGATTAGCTAGTAGCATTATGACAAATCTACAGCCAAACGTTTTGAGTGCCTTACTTACACAATTTCAAGTAAAAACTTATATATTCGAGTGACAGGATCATAGGAAATATCGTTTTACTGTGCTTCGTGAAAAATTATGTCCACCGATACTAGAAATGAACTGCATATCATTTTGAATGTTGGAGATCTTGTGAAAATGATGGAAGAATATATGGTGTAACATCTACAAAAGGTTGTCCTCTAACTATTGTGCATAGTTTAGAGTTCGTTACAACATTTTGCTTTATTCGAGAACAAAACCTTTTAAGCCGCACCTCAAGCTACATTAAAAATCTGTTAGTGACAGCTGCACGTTTGGAAACAGACCTACAGAGAACGGTCAATTCACTAACGCGATTGTATTTCAAGCAGGCACTGCTATGTTCGGGCCTCGGAGAACCTCTTCAATGCACAACCACCCAGCTGACTATTTCAAACAGGGACTAACCGTGTGTCTTGGATCCGACTTCTGAAAGCCGCCCATCCCTACTTATAATACATTTAACCCTCTGGTAATATCGAGGCAGTTTGCACAGAACGAAACTGCATCGAAAGAGACTAATAAATTTCAGTCTTAAAAATTTGTAAAAATGTCCGCTTGATTTCGAATTCCAAATACAGCATGTTCGTCTGTGCTCATCTAGTTCTAGTTGTTGTAAAATGCGCTATTTCGGAAATTCCTAGATCGTATATTGATTCAAATACTTCTAACCATCACAACTCTTATAGAGCGAGACAAAATCTTAAGTAGTGTGATGACAAGAAACAAATCTACTTACGACGACAACAACAGTAAATGTTTCAGACTGTGTCTATAGTTTCCATGGTGTTACGCATGGACTGTTTCAGTTTTTGTGGTATTCTTCAAGAGTTAATTATTTGGGCTGATTAA